ATTTTCTGCCAGCTGGAACTCTTCTTATTCCCAGCATTGCTCACCACTGAAAACAACTGTGGATTACATTGAGAATCCCCTTGGGAAACTCTGTGTGTGTGTGTGTGTGTGTGTGTGTGTGTGTGTGTGTGTGTGTAAGCACACTTGCAAGTGAACACGAAAGCCTTTACTCCGTAATTTGGGGACAGTGGTTGATTCAACAGATTACATATTGAGCCTCTTAATGCAGGACAGCTTGTAGATGATCATCAACATACATTTCAGATAGAAATGCTCCAACCATGAACACACCAAGTGGTCACTTCCCTAAGATTAGTTCCTTTAATTGTAAATAGCCAGAAAGTCATCAAGCCAGAGTTTGATAAACCTTTAATTTGAAATGAATTACCACATGTTGTGTTTGTTTACTCATTATTAAATCTCTTAGCAACATATCAGTGGTAGAAAAGCACACTGTACCACAGCCCCAATATATTAGGGAAAAACCCATGGGAGATATTAACCACTAATAATGTACTTGAAGAGATTTTTATGTTCTGATTTTGTATAAATCTGTTCAGAATAGGAGGAGATGGTCGCTCTGTAGCCTTTGAATATGAGACTTGCATCAGCCTCTGAGCTCAGAGAAAACAAAAGAATAATCAGGGTTTTCAAGTATATTTTTCTGAAATATAAGAAATTCTCCCTCTTGCAGTATATTATATTCACACACTGTGTGGGTGTTCATGTTTCCCAGACATCTGTCCTGCTTTGAGGGGAGCTAGAGGTAGTATCTAAAAGCCAAGTTCACAGCATAGTGCTGTATGTCTAGAAAATAAAGCCCTAAGGAAAAACTAGAAAGCAAAAATGATCTTGTAAGTAATTGCTTCTAATCTTCTACTCAGTATGCTAAACTCAGGTAAAAATGTCAGCTGTGGTGAAATATTATTAGTTAAGTCAGAATCCATTCTCTTGAAGGTTAAAAATTTTTAATAATATTTTATTAACCTAAAATATTAAAAAAGAAATATATTCTGCAAATGCACATATTTTGTTCAGTGACTTCACAGTTAACCTTTAAATTTGATATTTAAGGGAGATCAATGACATGCTTTCTAATGAAGGCATAGTTATTCTCATATCTATTTTTGCTTTATTTTTTCTTAGGGTGATGATCTTCGGCCATTAGAAGAAGCTTAGACACGGTCTTCCTCTTTTACATCTCAGCCATTCACTGCCTTAGTCCATTTCCCATGGCTCTGGTAGCATTGCTAGGCCTGGAAAATTTGTGAAGGAAAGGCATTGTTTCCTGTGGTCCTGAGGGTAAGAAGTGCAAAGGCTCTCTAACAAGGCCTTCAGGTTGGTGGGAACGCTGTACAGTCTCAAACAATCTCAGGACAAAATATGGCAAAATTACAGGTCCGTTTTCATAACTAAGGTGCTTTTTAAAAACTTGCTAATTCATTCCTAACGGTAGAACCCCCATCTACCCTATCACTTCCTTCTAGAAAATTCATCTTTCAGTATTGCTTCACTTGGGAACCAAGCTTCCCACATACAAATTCTGAAAGACACAATAAAACTATAGCATCCAGGTTGAAAGAAGATATACAATGCCTAAATCGTTTTTTTCCCAAAGAGCAGGGGTATCTTGAGATAAAAGGGATGATTAATTAAACAAACACCCCATGTAAAGGCAACTCTCCCAATGAGACAATTGAATGAGACCACCACCATATCTGTGGATATCCTCAACAGAACTGTCCATGAAGAAACCTGGAATGAGGTTAACTATGGCTTAGCAGGCCTCTGGACAGGAGGTGTTTTATAGTACCAATTATTCCTTATCAACTGCCAGGGTTTTCTGCTTATTTGAAGCCCCTATCACTCACCTTTCCCTTCTCCACACAACAAAAACATTCAGTGTCACCTAACCCAGATGTTTGCATTTAAAGTAAAAAAATAAATAAATAAAACCTTAAGGGGCTAGAGAGATGGCTCAGCAGTTAAGAGTGCTGACTGCTCTTGCAGAGGACCTGGGTTCAATTCCCAGCACCGACACGACAGCTAACAACCATCCATATCTCCAGTTCCAGGAGAAAGCAATGCTCTCTTCTGACCTCTGTTGGCATTGCATGACATGGGTACACTTACATATACTTTCAGCAATACACACATTCACATAAGATAAAAAAAAAGTTTTTTAATTAAACACTTAAACGTATTATACCCCAACATAAAATGCTTGAGTCAGCTTAAAAGTACATGTTGAGGATGAGCAAATCTACTCGTTACCTTTCAAAACCAGACCATTAAGCTCATTATCTGCTTTCTCCTCTGGATACAAGTGAGTCAAGCACAAGTTCTCAAGTGTAAGAACAAGATATTTTGATCAAGTTGCTTTATAACTATGGGATTTACTACCTAGCTTCAACCTAAACCTTGGTCCTAATTTATTTTCACAACTATTTATTAAACAGCTGGAGAGATGGCTTAGTGGTTAAGAGTGCTGACTGTTCTTGCAGAGGACCTAGATTCTATTCCCAGCACCCACATGGTACCTCCAGTTCCAGGGGCTCCAACATCCTCTTCTGACCTCCGAGGGCATTGCACAACATGGGTTCACTTACATACATTCAAGAAATATACTCATACACATAAAATAAAAATAATAAAATATTTTAAAAACAAATATTTAAGATCAGTGTCATATAATATGATATTTATAAATCTGTGTATAAAATTTAACATCACATTTCCAGGTGTATATGATTCTAGAGAGGGTGTAGTCCTTATCTGATGACCTTGGCTGAGTCACAAGCAAGCAGGTCAAGCACAGAGAGGGAAGCCCAGGGTTTATTCTGGACCAAAGTTTTAGACAAGCAGAAATTAAGGACTTCAGTCTGGCATTGATGGAATTTTCTCAGCCCAACAAGGCATCATTCCAAGGGAGTTAAAGCAAACAAACAAACAAAATCCAACCACAGTTTTAAGAAATGTTTATCACCTATTATGAAGTTTGACATTGCCAGTTGATAGGGGAAAAAAAAGAAGTCAGAGGTGACCTGGGAAGTAGAATCATGTGGCTGTCCAGTCTGACTATAATGGCAGAGTGCTAGCATCCAGCTCTGGAAACATGGTTTTTCCCAGAGCTGTGCTCAGTCCAGCCTTGTTACATTCTCATCTCACACATCCTGGGCTGACTAAGCACTTGGCAGTTTTCAGCTGGAAGCTCTCCTCCTGCTGCTCTAAAAGACCAATTTCCCCTCCATTCCCTCTGTCTCTTCTGAGCTTCAAATCCATTTTCTCCATGGTAAAGTGCTTGCCTTACAAGCGCGAGGATCTGATTTCCATTCCCCAGAAGCCACATCAAAAAATAAAGCTGAGGGGCTCAGTGGTTAAGAACACTGGTTGTTCTTGCAGAAGACTTGGGTTCAAATCTCAGCACCCACATGGCAGCTAACAACTGTCCACAACTCCAGTTCTAGGAGATCCGATGGCCTCTTCTGTCCTTTGCAGGCATTGCACGACACAGTTTCACTTACCTATATGCAGGAAATACACTCATACACATAAAATAAAAATAATAAATTAAATATTAAATTTTTAAAAAAGCTGATTGTGGTAGCAGGTGCCTGTGATCTCAGAACTGGTGGACAGATACAGAAGGATTCCTGGAGCTCGCTGGCTGGTCAGTTAAACTAGTCCAATCCATCAGCTCCAGATTCAGTGAGAGACCTTGTCTCAAAAAACAATGGGAACAGAGATCAAGGAAGACAATGTGGACCTGACCTCCACAAGCATGCACATATAAATGCATGCATACCCATGCACACACACAAAATAAAATGGGATGGGATGGGATAGAGTAGAGTAGAGGAATAGGATAGGATAGGATAGCATAGCATAGCATAGCATAGCATAGCATAGCATAGCATAGCATAGCATAACATAGCATAGGCGCATGTAAAGGTAACACAGCAAAGTAGAATTGCCAAAGCAGAGGACTGAGTAATAATGTAGGGTGTATTATTTTCTGTAGCATGTAATTTAAAAAATTGATAATTTCAAATAAAATGCTCACTACAGGGCTTATCACTGGTGAGTCACCACTGCTCACTGTGGTACTTTGAGTGCTATCACTTCTATAGCTGCCAATCAATCACATACCATGGCCACTAATACCATGTTTTGCTAGAGTATTCGTCCTGTTACAGAAAGTCACGAAGAAAACTTTTAGTAAAGGAAGTAACTTTTTATTACAAAAGATCATTTCCAATGTAGCTCTTCTGAAAGTTGAAAACTTGCAAATCTTTATCTAACGTGTGATAAAGTGAATCTTCAAAAACAAAGCCTATTTTTAAAAAACATTTGATTACTTGAGATCTTGGTGCTGAGAATATTTTTTCTTTTACACTCCTATCTTTTCTTACTACTCTCAAAAAGATACAAGAAAGGTGAAAATTTAGAAATTAAAACCAAAGAAGTCAAATTATCCCATCCCTTCAAAAAATAGATAAAAATATGTTTATCATGGAAAAAATAACATCATGGAGAAAAACTAACATTTCAATGCAATAATTTTATAGTTATTTCTGTAATAGATAAGGTGATATGGAAACCAATATTCCAGTTCATGGTAATACTATTTCAACATGGTTTGCAATAGACAATAATGCACTCATAGAAAATGAGTACATCTGACTTAGCCCTATTTAACATGACACAACCCAAAGTACACAAGAAGTTTGCTAAAGAAAAGAAGTCAGGGGCCAGAGTGATGACACAGCAGTTAGGAGCCCTGGCTGCTCTTGCAGAGGACCTGGGTTCTATTCCCAGCACCCACATGGTGGCTAACAACTGTACATAACTCTAGCATCAGGGGATCCAATGTCATCTTCTGACCTCCAAGGGCATTGCATAACATGGGTACACTTACACACATGCAGGCAATATACTCATACACATAAAATAAAAATAATAAATAAAATATTTAAAAAAGAAAAAAGAAGCCAACCAACCCTGAGAAGCACAGACAAAGCTGTCCGCTGATGCACAGCTGTCTGTCTCGGGTCCTTTCTCTGGATGGCCAGCTGTGCTCTCCACACCTAATTTTGCTTTTTCTGCTTCCACCATTAAGCACACAGGAAATTCAGGGGAAAACTGAGCGTAGCTTTCATGGCCTTTTTGATCGTTCAAATGCGGAGGAAGTTTAATTACCTATTAAGAGATAAATCTGTTAATGGAAACTGTTGCAAATATTAACTATGAAGTCAATTTTTCTCTAGAACAAAGAGAAATTTTGAGACACCAAAGAAGTCAATTAGGAATTCAATTTTCCAGACTTTGTAGGTTTTGTATGGTTATTTTACAAAGAATGATCATTTTTTGTATTAAACAATTTCTATAATCATTTCAGGTATTACCTTGTGCTGTATATGTTAATTCAGAGCTTCTCATTTCCTGTAAGCAAATGTTGTGTGCCTGAAATGCATACTGGGATAAAACCAGTAATTTTTCATTTGATATTTATTATCTCCAAGGAATAATACCTTACACTGAAAAAGAAATGATAACACTGTAGGATCTAGCAGATGATAAGTAGGTGGGACTCATTGGGAAAACTTTTCCAACTACATATTTAAGAAAATAGTAAAGCGTTTGAGGGAAAAAAACATAGGGAACAAAATATTCAGAATAACAAGAAACTGAAAGGAAAAGTGTCTTGGAAAGGCTTTCTTGCTTGTATTATTTTCCTCTTTGAGTCTTTGCACTCAAGCTATGGGGCTAAATTAGAGCAGTTTGCCAACCTTTTTCTAAAAGCTTGACTTACTGCTTAGGCACTGTCTCCAATGACATGGGACAACATTAGAGGTCAGGGAAAAGCCATGTGCTCTGGTCCTGCCTGGCCCTCTCCAGAGCATTTTTCTCCCACCCATTGATCCTGTGGGAAAATGATAGGATTTGCCTGGATTTCATAGTCTAAGTTTAAATTGAAAAAACAACCAACCAATAAAACACTTTTCTGTTCCATCATCTGTTTCACCGTACTATGCTCTTCCCAGTTCTGTTTTATTTTTTTTTATTAAAACCCCGTTTTATTTCATTAGAACTTTTTCTTTTGATGTGTGGACCTGTCTGCCTGTGTCTGTCTGTGTATGCATGTGTGTGTGTGTGTGTGTGTGTGTGTGTGTCTGTGTGTCTGTGTGTCTGTGTTTATGTCTCCATGTGTGTATGCCTGTCTGTGTATGTTTGGGTGTGTGTATGCTTGCGTGTGTGTGTGTGTGTGTGTGTGTGTGTGTGTGTCTATGTGTCTGTGTCTGTCTGTGTCTGCATCATGTGAACTCCAGAAATCGACACTGGGTTGTTTTCCTCAGTCATGCTCCATCTGTTTTGAAAACAGAGTCTCTTACTCAACATGGAGATCACCTGCTTGGCTTGGCTGACTGGTCAATGAGCTTCAGGGATCTGCTGTCTCCAGCCTCCCCCAGTGAAGGAATTATAGGCATATGCTGCTCCACCTAGCTTTAAAAAAATGGGGCTGGGGAAACAAACTCAGGTCCTCATGCTTATAGGGCAACCAGTTTACCAACTGAGCCACTCCCCAGGACTGATCAGAACTTTCTGCACTTGAGAAAACTCACATTGGTATATTCAAATATTTGAGAAATTCACAGAAAGGAAAATAGAGTTTTCAGATAAGGTTATTTTTTGTATCCTTATAAAAGAGAAGCATCTTCATCTCCACTAATATTTCCTCTTAATCAGACACCATGCATAATTCTCTTCTTGTTAATAATGTGGACTCCCCAACTAGATAGACAGAGAGAGAAAATTTCTAACACTGTCTAGTAAATAAAAGTCTTGGCAGATAATTACATCAATGTGAAATGCATAGTAACTAGGCAAGGTCTAGGTCTATAGGTAAATTATAATATTGCTTTTTCTTCCTCCACAATGTTTTTAATTAAGAGGAAAAATAGGAAGAAAATATTAATTTTCAAGTATATTTTGATTGAATCAAATTGTACTGATTCTGTTTAACAAGTAACTTTATCTTTCATCAAGTCTTTTTTATTTAATCTCAGTATAAAGTCTCTTTATGATGCTATATAAATTGTTCTTTATGAAATAAAGTTAGTGCCAACCTTCCAAGGCACAATTTATAGAACACTGAATTGTAGGTACCAGTTACTAAAATAAACATAGTTAAAGGCTGGGAACGTAGCTAAGTGGCAAAACACTTGCCCAGCATATGTGAAGCTCTCCATTCCATCTCAAGCATTAGGACTTGGGGGAAAGGGAGACTGACATTATTTAAGAAAATGAAAACCAGTTAAAAACAAGTTCTGAAGCTGGGAAATGACTGTGTGGGTGAAGTGTGGCTAGCAAGCATGAGGAACTGAGTTCAGATCCCCATCGCTGTTGTAAAAGGCTCGGTGTGGAAGCTCATGTCTGTTACCCTCACTTATAAGGAGTTGGAGAGCAGGACAGCTGGGTCCTGCAGGCTGACTACCCAGCCAGCCTAGCTAAAACTACGGGCTTTGCATTTAGTGAGAGACCCTGTCTCAAAACATAAGATGGAAAACCACAGAAAACACCCAAAGTCAACTTCTGTTCTTCACACATGCACACACAGGCTAGTGTACCGAACCCCCACACATGGATACATAACACCACACAGACACAGACACACACACACACACACACACACACACACACAAGCATGTGCATAGACACACACATTACAGATACCTTTTATATTAACTATAGTAACATTTGCTTTCTTCTTATGGCTGTATTTTAACCTTCACTTTATTTGACTCTTGGTACATATTTAAGACTACAATTTTAAACCCATTTTGTTACAGTTTATTATAGTTATTTACACTCATTTATAATAATCTTTCAAGCTTATTTACATCAACCTTTCTGATTTTAAGAGCTTTAAGTGACTTCTAGTAATCAGAGCACCACCACAAAATAATTGGTACAAATTCTCCAAACATAGTGCCTACACAGTAATAGTTTTCAAGCTTTCTTTTCAATGATTCTAATTTATCTCAAAGTAGCACTGCTTCCACATTGAATGGGAAGGCAAATAATTACATAAGAACTATTTTCCTTTTCTTTTTAAGATAAGTTTATTTCTATATTATGTGTATGAGTTTTGTGCCTCAATGTGTGTATGTGTACAACATGAGTGCCTGCTGCCTGTGGATGCCAGAAGAGGACATTAGATTGCCTGGAACTGGAGTAACAGATGTTATGACCCAATATATGAGTGCTGAGCACTGAAACTGGTTCTCTGTAAGGGCACCAAGTGTTCTTAACTGCTGAGACATCTCTCTAGCCCCAGGAACTATTTTCATAATAGCATCCCTATACTACCTCAATAGGACATGTCAACAAAACATTATAATGAAACTAGTTAAAAAGAAATTCCAGATAATTACACCCAAAATAAATAGGAAACAGAAAGACAGTCACACAAGAAGAGAACTGTTGAACTTAAAGCCAAAATTACACATTTCCTGGAAATATTCATATTAGTTCCATCAATTAGGTAGGTAGATGATAAATAGATGATAGAGTGATAGATGATAGATGATAGCTAGATAAAAAAATGTGTAGGTAAAGAATAAAACTTTGTGATACCTTTTAATATAATCAACCAGGAAAAGTATTACAATCTGAAATAACAAGTTTGGACATAGAGGCAAAAATAGACTACAAACAGGTTGGAAAACTTTATTCTTAACATCTGCTACCATTTTCTTTTCTGGATCATGATGTTTGACTACAGTGAATTTATGATCTGTCACTTCTGTTAAAAGACTTGGTTTGGCAGTAGACAGAAGGCTAAATATGTACAAATAAACAGTGTATGCCCCAGTTTATGTGTTTTAGATATTTGAAGCAGACAAAAAGCATAGGCTTGGAAGTGGCGCGACTAAGGCAGACAGCTCTTTCATGGCTGCTCAGCCCCTGTTGAATTACCCTCTCTGTATGAACACATTTGTCTCATCAGAGATGAACACTCAGAAGGCCAAAATCACATCTGGTCTACTCTATGTCCTTGCACAGGCAACTCCCAACACCCATGAGAAGCTTGGTAAAAACTTCAGGTAAGAGGGGCTGGAGAGATGGCTCAGTGTTTCAGAGCACTGCCTGCTCTTGCAGACAACCCCAGTTCAGTTCCCAGCACCCACATGGCGGCTAATAATAGTCCATAACTCCAGTTCCCCAGGATCTGATGCCCTCTTCTGACTTCTGCAGGCATAGCATGCCATGGGAGTGCATTTACATTACATGCAGGCAAAACATACACATAAAGTGTGTGTGTGTGTATATATATGTGTGTATATATGTAATAAACATGATATGTATTATATATAAAATATGTGTATTATATAGCATATATATTAGTTAAGTATAGCTAATATAATCACTATATTAGTAAAGTATGTAATATATATATATTAGTTAAGAAAAAATAGCATCACCCAATCCCAGGTGACAAAACCAGAGAAAACCAGGGGACTTGGGAAGCAATTCTGACTTATTCACAACATAAAAAGCTGTGTTAAATTCTCTTTCACTTTCCCCAACAACTTACAATTTTATTCCTTATTTCTATATATTAATTAATCTTCAGTATCAGAAATTACTATTAGGATGCAATTAGTTTTATCTTTTTAAAGAAACTTTAATCCCAGTACTCAGGGAGGCAGAGTCAGGCAGATCTCTGTGAGATTGAGGCCAGCCTGGTCTACATAGTGAGTTCCAGGACAGGTGAGGCTACAGGAAGACCCTGTCTCAAAGAGACCAAAAAAAAAGAAAAAGGCAAACAACAACTTTATTAAAATTTTCAACTGTGAGAAAGAAAGGTAACAGAAAGAAGTAGCTTTGAGAAACATTTGAAACCATTATCCAATTACAAAATCATATTAGACAACTATAACCCTAGCTAGCTAACACTCAGGAGGCTGAGGCATGATGATCAAGAGTTTGAGGCCAGCCTGAGCTATGGTGCAAAATCCTATCTCACAAAATTAAAAACATATCATTTTATTACAAACCTTAAAATATAGATTGCACAGCCACTGGTCCAAGTCCTGGCAAATCAAATCTTCAATTTTCCTGAAGCTATCCAGTGTTTGGTCATAATGTCCTCGTAAGAGGGGACACTTAAATTTTCCTTCCACTACACAGAAGTTGTTATCACATACAGGAAAGACTCCCCAGCCCATGACAAGGTCATTGTAAACAGACATTCCATGAAGGATGAAGAGTTCAAACAAGAATGACACGCCAGGCTTCACATCTGTCCTTTGAGGGAGTACCTAGGAAAGAAATTAAGACAAGAAAATATTCTGAGTCTCCTATCTTCAGAAACATACCCAGTGATACCCAGAGACAATTCAGAAATAAGTTTAAAGTTGTTCATATTTCTTCTGCTGCCTTTCAATACTTACCTTTGGATGAATTTATACAAAATAGACTCTGGACTCAGGAAACCGAGCAGTCATTCCACCGTGAAAGTGTGGCTGTCAGAGGACTCCACATTTTAGGAGCTTTAGGAATCAGACTTATAACTTGACAACCAACATGGTGCTCTGTATTTTCATTTATTCCTGGCTTGAACTGGTAGGTCGGCTGTTGCTATGGTTTGAATGTATCCAGTAAAAGTTCAAGTGCTATAAACTTCATGCATTAATTCACATGTTAATGTTATTTGGAGATAGAGCCTTGGGAGGTGGGATTAGATGAGGTCACAGGGTGTGGTCTTCAGGACGGCATTAGAGGCTTTATAAGAAGGGGACAGTAGGCCTCAGACTTAAACTAGTGTGTTTCTTTTTCTCACAGTGGCCTCCACCATGTTAGAACGCATCAAGGTCGTCACCAGACATTGTCACCACACTCTTGAACTACCCAGTCTACAGAACCATGAGCCTACTAAACTTGCATTGTTTTAAAAATTACCATGCCTCAAGTATTCTGTTAGAGCAACAGAATAATAAACTAAGAAATAAACTAAGATGACTGCCTAGGTACCTCTTTCTATCTTCAGTCACAGTCATGATTTCACATGCCTACCGGGGGACCTTTTGGATCATTCAGGTTCATGGCTCAAGTACTTTACACGAAATAAATCCCTTTTTAAAAAATAGTTGAGAAAATGATCATACTCCAAAGAAACTAACCTTATTCATGATGACAACTTGAAAAATGAGTAAAATATTTTTTAAAAATAAAATAACTTGAAAAAAGAAAAAATAGACTCCTATATAATTTTTTGACTACAGTTTATTTAGGGGATACTACAATGGGCACATTACTGTCAGAGCCAAACAGTGGTGAGCATGATGGGTAAACGGTCATGACTCAAGCTCTCAGATATAAAGATGATGCCTACTCATTGGCTTTTAAAATATTAGAAAAGTACAAGGCATGAATAATATTTTATTTTAAAAAGATTATAGATGTTGGCTGGAGAGATGGTTCAGTGGTTAAGAACACTGGCTTCTCTTGCAGAGGACTCAGGTTTGACTCCCAGCACCCACACGACATTTAACGCTACAGAATCCATAACTCCAGTTCTAGGGGATCTGATGCCCTCTTCTGACCTCTGCAGGCATTGTAAAATACAGGTGCACTTACAGATCTGCAGGCAATACACTCATACACATAAAATTTTAAAAATATATATATTTTTAAAGCTTATAGACAATTTCTTTTTAAAAATCTAGTGTGGGGAGCTGGAGAGATGACTCAGCAGTTAAGAGCACTGGCAGCTATGCAGAGAACCCAGGTTTGATTCCCATTGCCTACATGGCATCCAACAACCATTTGTAGCTCCAGTTCCAGAAGAATCCAACCCCCTTTTCTGACCTCTGCAGGCATTGCAATACATGGGTGTGCTGACATATGTGCAGGCAATACACTCATATACATAAAATAAAAATAACAAGTAAAGTATTTTTTAAAAAATAAAAGAAAAATCTTGCATGAATAATTGCAAATGGACAGAGAAGGGTCTTGTCTTAGACTATTCTGCAAAACATTCAGCCAAAAGTGTGTAAAAGTATTTGTATGATTTATGTAAATGGTTCAAGACTTAAGTTTAGGGATAAAATGAGACAGATACATCTGTTGAGAATGCCATAACCCTGTGGCAGCTGCTACTAAAGCATTAGTGGGATCAGGTTTCATTTAAACCAGATTTACCATTTTCTACAACAGCCCATGGGAAAGCTAAAAACATTAGGCACAAATTACTGACAAGAGAGATCCTTAATCAAAGCGCACTTTTCATTTGGCTTGCTGGCCATGAGTAACATTTGCAATAAGAGAATAAAAGCTAAATGGGGAGGAGAAATGGAGTCAAAAACCTGTTTAGAGTCATCATCTAAAAATAAAATTGAACCGACGCTATTGATAATGATTTCAGCTAGTTTTACTGGTGGATTTAGGAGTGGAATCTGGGACCCTTCTTGTCCTAAGCCAGTGTTTTTCAGCAATGCAACTGAACTAGATGAAATAAGAAACTGACCAGCAATTCTGTGATTATTTTTGTTGGGGTCTATGCAAGCTACTTCTGTTTTTATAGTTAAGTTTGTATAAACTTGAGTTTCTCATCAATCCAGGCATAGGGCTGAGGATATAGCTACATGATAGAGTACTTGCCTACCTTATGGGAGGCCCTGGGTTCAATCTTCAATATGACAGATCTAAAAACAAAAATGAAAATAAGACCTCAAATCATAGTAATGGATCCTCTTCATAGAGTTGATACAATTATTAGCCTATTAAATATAAAAATGCCCAGAAAAAAAACTGTGTATTAGTCTTATTTTTGTATTTAAGACATCAGAACCACTTCTGAAATGACATTTAACAGAAATAAAAAATTGAAAGTTAAATGCACCTGTAGCCATGCCAAACACTGGAATCCTTTTGTGCGTGACCATTCTCTTAGAGGTACCAAGCACAATGTATGGATGTTGTACAGCACTGTGTCACCTGTGGGCTGCACAGAAGGACTTTGCCTCAACCTCTTCTACTGGAGAGCAGTCATAGGCAGCCACCATGACAACTCCTGAAAGAATTAAGTACAAGAACATGAAAAGCCTAGCCACTTATTCCAGATGAAGCAGGCAGGAGTCATAAATTCTTCAATAAAGGGTTCTCTGACAACAGCTGTCTTTTTAAAATGTATTCTTTGAGCTCTCTTCCCTTACTGCTTGTTGTACAAGTGATCTTTTGCACTATAATGTGTAACTTGAGATTTGGTATTTGCTCTTTGGCAAGAAAGATGACTACGTTTCCTTATGCCTCTCTCCAAGGACCTTTCCCACAAGTTTGACTCTTTCTCCAGTTATCCTGACGTAACACTTAGTAGCTTTCATTGGCTTTGTATTTAAAAACTGTGTGTTAAAACAAGTGCTCACTTTCTCTGATGTCAAAGCCATCTCATCATCACAATCCTGGTAACTGGAGGTCGTCATGTCCTTGAAGGACCTTCATTTTCTGACCACCATAAAGAATGCTCCTTTGGAAGAACGATTTTGCAGAGATGGATTTCGCTGTGTATTACAGTGTCGTGTAATTGATCTTCTACATCAAAGATGTGTGTGGAAGAAGAGTGAAGCAGCAAAAGCTAAGAAGCAAGTGAGAACTTTGGAACTGGATGTTGGGTGGAAGATTGAAAGAGAGAAAAATTCTGTATACTTGGACACCAAATACTTGCAAATTAAAGCAATCAATATTGGTCAAGAGTGAACTCTGTAACATGATTGTCATAGTTAGCTCTGGCTGTCAACTTGATACAAACTAGAGACACCTGAGGAAAGAGAACCTCAGCTGAAGAATGGAAGACTAGCCTGTGACCATGTCTGTGAGGCATTTTCTTAAGTGCTAATTGACGTGGGAGGGCCCAGCCCACTGTGGGCAGCGCCATCCGTAGGCAGGTGGACCTGCGCTGTATAAGAAAAGCAGCTGACCACACCAGAAGGAACAAGTCAGTGAGTAGCACCTCTATGGTTCATGCCCTGCTCCTGCTTGAGTTTCTGCCCTGACTTCTCTTAGTGATGGACTTTTCTGGAAGTGTAAGCTGAAGTAAAACTTTTCCTTCTCAAGTTTTTTTTATTTTTTGTCATTTTTTTAAGAGCGAAGAAAGCAAACTAGAACAATTATGGAAAAGCTATATTCAAAGTGTGGTTCGTCTTTCTGTACTTCCTGCAATTTCTGTAGTGGTAATAGAAATACTGATAAAGCCATTTTAAAGACAGATTGCCTTCAAAGTCCTGCTTCTCATTATGATGGAGATGGTTACAAAGAACCAACATTTGCATCATGATAAGGAAAAGGGCTGAGGATGTAGCTCAGTAGAGCACTGGTTTAATGTATTTGAGAGTTGGGCTTGGCCACTAGTATGGCCACAAGCAGAAACAAGAGAAATAATCAGAAAAAAGTACAATTATAAAATTGTACGTATGTTTTGACTCATTGAGAGCTGAGGAGACTAATTTATGGGAAACTAAATCCTGGAAGCAGGTGAAGAAACAAAACTGTCCTTGGATGGAGGACTCTAGGAAAGAAAGGAGAAGGGAGAGAGAGAGCAAGTCATTACTATTTACCAAGTCTCAACCCTAGACCTTTATCAAGTATTCAACAGCGTGTGAACAACTGGTTCTAGGTATGAAGGCAAAGAGATGCCCAGTGTTTCAGCAGTCTTAGGGCAATGTTAGAGAACAGAGCAATCTCACCAAGTCAAATGGTACTTGGCTACGAGGCACAGCTAGAGGAGGGACCATTTATAACTTAAAACTGTGGACCCCAGTGAGAATGCAAACTAAAGTTTAGCTCAACACCTGATCTAAGCAGAGAGCTCAGACTTTGATGGGAGATACATATTTTCTAGTGCATTCACTACAGTTTATGAGGTGCCACGGGAAGACATCTGCAGAGGCTAGAGTATGTGCAGCACAGATCAACCGATGCAAACTGACCCACACATGATCCGGAAGCTGAAACGGACAAGGATTTCACATCACTATGATTGAGAACCAAAATTAAAGGGAACTATGGAAAGGACCCATGAAAGGTTACAGCGTTTCAGGAGAGAACTTAAAGTGTTTGAGAACAAAAGTAGGAAATAAGTGGCAAAAATCATTACATGGATTTGACCTTGTAAATGGACACAGCGGAAATGGAATAGGGAAACACTGAGATACTTCAGTGAAATCTGACTGAAGCACAAAGACTAAAAGAATGAAAAGATGAGAAGACGGAAGTCCTGTGTAGCAAGCACCAGCAAGTCACGAACAAAATCACGGTACTC